CTGTAGCTTTATTGTCAAAGCTATACTCAGAATGAATCTTCTATTCATTTCAGTCTTAAAAAATATTTTAACTTTTATTGTGACTTGGGTGAAGCAGGTCATCAGTTGGTTTTTTTTTTCAGGTCATCAGTTTTCTATTCAACAATTTATACATATTTTGTTTCATTTATTGACTGAAACTTTTTAATGTAACGTCACTTATTTTACTTCTTCCCAGTGTTTTCTGTTTCTGTTCCTTCTCCTGTTCTAATCCTGCTGAACTTTTTCCTTGGGTAAATGCTGCTATTTTTATCTTCAATATTTGATTATTCTAAGGTGTGCATACCTCGATAATTTTATTTTTCTCCTTATATAGATCGATTCATTTTTGGACTGAAAGTTGGGCTATTGGAATTAGTTCATTTCCAGACCTGCAGGGTGACAGTGGGCCATAGTCTTGTGGGATCCACTCATCTCTATCTGACTAGTGGTCTTTTTTTATGATTTTGAGTTTCATTCTCCGTTTTTTCTCTAACTTTCTCCAATATCTTGTGATGCGATCCCTTTCAAAGCAGTTGGTAGCCACGTACCATCTGGTTCCTTTGGTATCAAAGTCATAATGACTGATGTTTGTGCTGCTCATTAGTCCACTGGAGTAATTATTTCTGTCTTTTTGATTGTCGTTATTGTTCACTCCTCAGAATAGGAAGAGACTGATAATTGTGTCTTAGATAGGCACTCACCAAAGCATTGTCTTTGTGAACTGTGCTGTGCCAGTTGACCTTGGTATTCCCTTGAGAATATGGTCCTGAGCCTCCAGGTCCAGCAGCTCATTCATTCGCTTCAGGTATTTAGTTAAGTTTTCGTAACTTGGATCCCCTGTGTCCTCTACCACGTTCATTAGCCAACGCTAATACGTATCTACAGATATTCTCTGTTATAACTAAATGTTTTTTTGAATATTCTACTCTCTCCCATCTGTACTTATTCATTCGATGAGTCTATCTATGCATCTACTTGTTGATCACCATTATTGTAGGAGTGTGTGTATAACGCTATTTACATTTTTGTCTTTT